GAGCTGCCCCCTATCTCTGTGAAGTCAGAATGCACGCTCTTCCCAGGCCCCAGGCCCCAGGCTCCCACCGGGTGAGAAGTGGGTTTGGTTGCCCCAACTGCGTCCTCCGGGGCCATCGGAGCAGAGAGGATGGTGTTGGGACCCTGGCTCAGCCTCCTCGCCTTGCCCAGGACCCCTGCACCCCTCTGGACTCGGCCAGGCCTGAGCTCTCCCGGTCTACACAGTGCTCGCCATCACCAGGCACGTTCTGCTTTCTGCTTCCTCCCGGCCATTTCCCCCGTTTGCCCCCAGGAGGTCGTCAGCCAGGAAGGAGGGCAGGGATTTCTCCCCGTCTTGCTCAGGTCTGTGTCCCCAGGGCCAGGCACACAGTAGGTGCTCAGTAAATATTTGTTAAATGGCCCTGGCCTGGTGGCTTAGTTGGTTGGAACATCATCCCACACACCGGAAAGTTGTGGGTTCTATCCCTGGGCATCTACTGAAGGTTGCTGGTTTGATCCCTGGTTGGGGCATATGTACAGGAGGCAACTGATTGGCGTCTCTCTCTCCCTGTCTCCCTTCTTCTTTTTCTAAAATGAATGAAACATATCCTCAGGTGAGGATTAAAAAGTAAATACTTGTTGCCCTGACTGGTGTAGCTCAGTGGATTGAGCGTGGGCCTGCGAACCAAAGGATTGCAGTTCGATTCCCAGTCAGGGCACATGCCCAGGTTGCAGGCCAGTTCCCAGCAGGGGACACACGAGAGGCAACCAGACATTGACATTTCTCTCCTTCTCTCCTTCCCTTCCCCTGTAAAGATAAATAAATACAATCTTTAAAAAAATTAAAAAATAAATACTTGTTGAATGGATGAATAGGTCAGCAGCTTCTGACCCCGCTCCGTGGGCCCTGACGTTCAGACCCGGCCCTTCTGTCCATCCTGGTCCAACTGTCACCTGTGTGTGGACAGCAGCCCAGTGTCTATACACAAACAAAGTACGTGGGTGTCTAAAACAAAAACACTTGAAATCGGAGGCTTTACTGTCCACACTCATGTGTCAGTGTCCTCGGCGGAGCCGCTGACGCTTGCCCGGTGCCGGGAGTAAGCACACGGGCCACTCACATGCACACGAGGATGCGAGGACTCGCAGCCTGGGCCGCAGCCTGCACCCCTTCCCCCTCCCCCCTCCCAAGTCTGGCACGGGCTTGGAATGTGTAATTATAGCCCACGGGGCAAATTAGAACAGGGAGTGAACTCCTTCCCGACCGCAGAGAACCGGGGAGTGTGTGGGGAGGGAACTGCCACAGAGCAGCGGGGCAGGCCGTGTACGTGTGTACATGTGTACACACACCCACGCACGCACAGGTCTGAGCAGTGTGATGTGGCAGGAATCCAGGGTTAGGATACAGAGGTGTCCGCGCCCTGGGTGTCCTCTCAGGGCCTCAGCTTCCTCAGCTCTGAAATGGGAGCAGTAGCCCAGCTTTGCTCGCCGGGCCCTGGGGGCCTGACCCAGGGTGCAGCCGGGAAGGTGTCGGTGGGTTTAACGAGGGCTGTGAGTGCCACTCTGTACCTGTGTGTGTGTGAAGGGGGGGCAGGGTGAGGGGGGCAGGTCAGCCGGGACTGTACTGCAGTGGTGATGATGATAATGGTGATGAAAGCATTTTCAAATGCTTCACAGGTGCCCAAGAGACACCCCACCTGCCTTCTGTCACAGCAGCCCTATGGGACAGACGCTGTTATTGTTTGTTTTTTATCCTCACCCAAGGACGCGCTTATAGATCTTAGAGGGGGGGGAGGGAGGAAGAAAGAGAGGGAGAGAAACATGCCATGACCAGGGACCGAACCTGCTACTCAGGCCCGTGCCCTGACTGGGAATCGAACCTGTGACCTCTCAGTGTATGGGACCCTCCAGGCAACTGAGCCACACTGGCCAGGGTGGATAAATGCCGTTACTGCAATTCTCATTTGACAGGTGGGAAACTGAGGTCCAGAGAGATCAGTCGGAGCTGGTAGCAAAAATCCTGCAGCCCGCTGCCCAGCTTGGAATCCCGACTCTGTTGCCAACCGGCTCTGAGGCAATCGACCTCTCTGAAGCCTCAGTGTCCTCCCCTGTGAAATGGGGATTTCAGCAGCCTACCTGCAAGGCGTGCTTCTGCAGCCGTAGTACTGGTGGCCCCATGGTCTGCATCATTCCTTGTGGCGGGGATGGCCCTTGCTTTGTAAGATGTTTAACACTGTCCCTGGCCTTGACTCACTAGGTGCCAGTAGCCCTCTCTGCCCTGCACATTTTTGACAAAGTCCCCAGACTTTGCCAAGTGTCTCTGGGGGGCAGAACGGCCCCCGCCGGGAGCCGCTGATCTAGGGCTGAACGAGGGTCAGGTGAGCTTGCACGTAGACCACTGCCTGGCACCAAAGGAAAGCCACAGCATCCTGATGATGATGGAGGTTTATCTCACGATTACAGTTTCATCATAATTAAAATGCTAATAATGATCATTATGTGCTCTGCCCAAGGCTGCCACCAGCCAGTGAGTGGCTGGGAGGGGATTTAAACTCGGGAGTGGCCGACCTCAGGCCGGCAGCTGTGCAGCCCCCCAAAACCTCGGATGCTGTCTGGGTTGCGGTTCCTTAGGGGATGGGGTGCAGGTGCGGTGGGGGATCTGGAGGGACCCTCCTGGCCTTCTCACGCCTTGGAGCTCCCTGAGGTGGGGGTGTCTGCGAGGCCCTGCCCCAGTGGGGTGCCTTGGGAAGGGAGAGGGTATGACAGGGAAGGCAAGTGCCCTGTGCCTCCCCCCCCCACCTTGGGGTCCCTGGTGAGGCAGGCGGGGCTGTTACTGGGGAAGTCTAATTTTCCCCTCAATGCTCTTACCTGCAACGGTTACCCCTTCCTGCCTCGACAAGCCCCTGCATTCCTGCAGGACAAAGCCCCGAGTTGCGAGGCTGCCGCAAGCAGACAGGGATCCAGGTCTCCATCTCCCACCTGGCTGGTAGACAGGAGCTGCTGCCTCCTGAGGTCCTACTAGGTGCCAGCACTGAGTGGGTGCTTCAAATCGCTGAGGTCACTAGCATCTCCCAGGAACTCTGGGAGGAGGCGTGGTTGCCAGTTTTACAGGTGGGGGAAACCGAGGCCCGGAGAAAGGAAGTGATTTGCCCGAGGTCACCCCGCTGCTCGTGAGCAGGGCCAGGACCTGCGCTCCTGTCTCTTCCTTCCTCCTTTGATTATAATCCGTGACAGCCCCCAGTTTAATCCCAGGGTCGGTGCTTGGGTGTGCCTGGTGTCATTTCATTGTCCCTGCAAACCTGTGAAAAGCGACTGCAGTCCAGGCCCTAATGACTCCGAAGTGGGCTGTCCCTCTGCACTGCTGCCCAGAGGGGGCCGGTCCCCGGCTCATGCTCTGATCTGACATCTGTGTGCCCCACTGCGCCCGCCGGGAGGGAGAGGCCTCTTGCAGGCCCCCCCCCCCCCCCAGCTCTCTGGCCCAGGCCTTCCCTCCTTGCAGCCGCAGAGCAAACAAGGTGGGAACCCGGCTTTATTCACTCCTCCGCTGATGTGTTGGGCGGGAGGGGAGAGAGAAAGAGGACTTTTCAGACCTCTCCCTGCTGCCTGGGTGGGATGGTGAGGGTTCCAGGAAACCAGCCCTGGGTGCCCAGCCCTGCCTGCGGGGCGGAGTGCGTGCTGCAGGGGGCGGGGCTGCCAGCCACGAGGCCTGGGTTCCGGTCCAGCTCTGCTCCCTCCAACCTATGACCACCCCTCTTTTCTTTCTTTCTTTACTTTCATTTTTAAAATAATTTTTCACTTTTTAGTGACAGTTGACGGACGATATATTAGTTTCGGGTGCACAGCCCGGTGATCAGACATTTACAGAACGGGCAGAGTGGCCACCCAGCAGCACCAGAGCCGGTTGTGTCCTGGTGTTGTGCGACCAGGACACCACAGGGGACGACTGCATTCCCTGGGCCACACGTCACACCCATCACTGGTCTGTGACCGCCAGCTGTGCTTCTCCATCCCTTCATTTCTCTGCCTGGATCCCCACCCCCCCCCCCCCCCCCCGGCCTCTGGCATCTGCGTCAAAATGTGTCCGTTGAGTGTGGCTGCCCCTCTGGAAGCTCCAGTTTCCTCATCTGACAAATGGGAATGGGTAATACCTTCATCACAAGGTTGTTGGTCCGTGGGGCACTCTCCTAGGTGTTGGGGATGCAGGAGTGAGCCAGGCAGGTGCAGCCCAGGAATGAACTGATCCCATAAACAAATGGTCGGGGGGGCTTCCCAGAGGAAGGGGCCGTTGGACTGGAAACACAGACGGGTGGGAGGTAGTCAGGCAGAGAGGGTTGGTGGGGGACAGCCTTGGGCACTGGGGGTGGCGTTTGTGCAGGGGTGGGATGGAGGGGGGTCAACTACAGCCTTGGAACCTTGTTTCCTGTCCTGGAAAATGGGGCTCAGAATGACGGTGCTGGGTGAGGAAAAGGACTCCTGGGTTCACTGCCGAGGGCACGGTGGGTTCACAGGGATTTCCTGAGCAGCTGCTGTGCCCGAGCTTGGCGTTGTGTGCTGTAGGTGCTGCCGTGAGTCAGGCATGGTGCTTGAACCCCCGGTTCACAGGTGCAAAGGCCAAGGCTGCGAGAGGTCGACCTGCCCCCCGTCACGCAGCTGCTAACCCTGGGGCTGGCTCTGCGCCCTGGGCTGTGGGGCTCCGAAGCGGGTGGGGCTGGTCAGGAGTCTGCCTCGGCTCCCACTGTGGGGTCCCAGGGCCGACTCTGGCCCTTTCTGCTCCAGCTCACGCCCAGGGTAGCCAGACCTGGGGCCGAGTGGTGTTTCCAGGTTCCCTGAAAGAGGCGCCTGTTGCTGCTGCTGCCCAGGGCTGACGGCCAACCACATCTGGGAGTGGCCACCCTGCTCCCCTGTCATTACAAGGGTGGCTTTGAAGCAGCTGGCAGCAGGGCTGTTTGCCCACGTGGGAAGGGGCTTCCTGGCACTCCCCCCACACTGGCCTGGCTCCGCCGACTCTCCTGTTGCCCGCAGGTCCGGCAGTGCACACAGGTCCGGGGTCGGCATGGCGGAGCCCAGCGAAAGCCCCCGCGAGGGGCCCATGGAGGTGGCGGAGCCCCTGGGGGATGAGAGTGGCACCTCTGGTGGGGAGGCCTTCCCCCTCTCTTCACTGGCCAACCTGTTCGAGGGGGAGGACGGCTCCCCCGTGCCCTCACTGGATGCCGGACGCCCCACTGGTGCAAGCGACGGGCGTCCGAACCTGCGCATGAAGTTCCAGGGCGCCTTCCGCAAGGGGGTGCCCAACCCCATCGACCTGCTGGAGTCCACCCTGTACGAGTCCTCCGTGGTGCCCGGGCCCAAGAAGGCGCCCATGGATTCTCTCTTCGACTACGGCACCTATCGTCACCACCCCAGTGACAACAAGCGGTGGAGGCGGAAGGTCATGGAGTGAGTACCGCTGGGTACCCTGTCAGTGGACTCCTCCTCTCTGCTGAGTCCATCTACCCATCCGTCCATCCACCCACCTGTCCATTCATCCATCTATCCATTCACTTAACCATCCATCCACCCACCTGCTCATCCTTCCATATACTTGTCTGTTCATCCATTCATCCGACTGCCTGTCTTTCTACATGTCCATCCACTTGTCCAGTCCATCTGTCTGTCTGTCACCATTCAATATCTGTTTACCCATCTATTTGTCATCTGTCATCTGTGTATCCAGCCCTTTACTCGCACGGTCCTTCCCTTTACTCACCACGCACTCACCCATCCTTCCATCCTCTCACCGACTCACTGTCTCTGTTCCTCCGACCAGTCGGTTATCCGTCAAGCTGTTCATCATTCATTCATTCATCTCTGATATTTTCCTAATTTCTCTCCCTTCCCTCCCTCCTTCCTTCCTTTCTTTCTTCCTTCTCTCCATTCATTCCCCCAGCCTCTTGTCCATCCATTTGTTCATCCACTCATTCATTTGCTCAGTCACTGACTCACTCATATTTTCATTCATTTCCCCATCCATCAGTCCATCCATCCATCCATTCGTCCATCCATCCACCTTCTCCTGCTGGCACACACCCCAGCAGACAGCTGGGGATGAGGGTGTTCTTTTTATTTCATATTTTGGCTCAAAGGTCCAAGTTCAGGAGCAGATAGGATGGGAGCTGCTCAGGTGCCATGAGGGGGTTCCCATAATCAGGACAGTGCCCCCTTTTTCTTCCCTGGCTTCTGCCACTGGAGGGGGCTGTCTGGTGAGAGCTCTCTCCGCCCCTACAACCTCTCCTCCTGCCTCTGCCCCACAGCCCACCCTGGCCTCAGTCTCCCCCCCCCCCAGGTCTTCCTCCTCTCTCTGCCCCCCTCTGCCCTTCTCGCTCCAAGTCTGCCTGTTGTTCTTCCTGCCCCGTGTCTGCACCAGGCACACAGCAGGCACCAGACAGTGGTGTCGGCTATCATTTACTCGTGTGGGGAGCCTGGAATGAGGCACCTGTGTGCATGGCCCCCTTTTCGTCAAGTGTTTGTTGAATGAGTGTCAGGGAGTAAATGAATGGTTGAATAAACAAGTGGTTTGCTTTACTTTTTAGTCTGGTGTTCCCCTTTTATTTTCCCAGTATCTTTGTCTCCTTCAGCCTCTCTCTGCCTTAGCACGTATTCAACAAATGACAAACGGAAGGGCGGATGGATGGATGGATGGATGGGCAGGCAGGCCTGTGTGTTTGTCTGTCTTTCTCCACCCAAAACGCAGTTGGTACGAGGTAAAGTGTGTTGGATAAAACATTCTTTTGTGTTTCCCCTCCCAGTCAGCCCTAGGGCTCTGGCTTTGCCACCCTGCTCCCACCAGCCCCAAGGGAATGGTGGGGTGGGCAGGGGACAAGCCCCCCATCACCCTGCCCTCCCCACTCCAGGAAGCAGCCGCAGAGCCCCAAAGCTCCTGCGCCCCAGCCGCCCCCCATCCTCAAAGTCTTCAACCGGCCCATCCTCTTCGACATCGTGTCCCGGGGCTCCACCGCCGACCTGGACGGGCTGCTCCCCTACTTGCTGACTCACAAGAAGCGCCTGACTGATGAGGAGTTTCGGGGTGAGCCACCCAGGCAGGGACGGTGGGCAGGGCAGCCAGTGATGAGAGGGGCCTGCCACAGAGGTCCCCTTTTCTCTTACCACTTTCCTCTGGGTCAGTGGGCGGCACTGGCCGGAAAGAGCACTGGATGGGGAGTCGGGTCCTGTGTGTCTTCACCATAGTACTTAACCTCTCTGGGCCTTTGCTAGCTTTATTCGTTCATTTATTCAGCCTTTATTTAAGAACGTGTCAGTGTAGCAGGTGAGAGGAGTTCACCTAGCAGGGTTCATATCCCGCCTCCACCACTTAAAAGGGATGTGCGGCCTCTCTGAGCCTCAGTTTTCTCATCTGTAACCTGGAGAATGATAATGGCACAGTCCTGCCTCCAAGCAGGGAGAGTTCCGTAGTGCTGAGCACAGGGCGCCTGGGGTTCTGGGGAGCCCCTGCTCCCTCTCAAGGGAGCTCAAGGTAGGGTGGGGCATCCGGTCGAATTCCGCTTCTGCTCCCAGACTCAGCCCTGGCTCAGTCCCTGCCCAGCTTTCTGGCTTCCTGCCCTGGGATGAAGGCCTAGTCACCATGGCTCAGGACCCCCCAGCACAGAGTGCCCGCCCTCCGGCCTTGCCCAGGGTGCAGACACCCCAGGGCGCCAGCTCCCTCCACTACCCCGGGGTGGCCTGCGAGTCCTTCCACCCATCCACCCCCTGCTCTGGACCTGTCGCCAGGTGCGGCCTAACGCACTGGCCAGGGGCCCCACAAATCAACGTAAAATGTCAGGAATTGTGTTATCCGCGACAGAGGAGGGTCTGCCCCAGGAAGGCAGCCAGGGTCTACAGCTTGGGGCCGTCGAAACGTCAGGGAGGTCAGCAGGGCCGTTTTGGGAGTTCAGGAACTTTAAGTAGAATAAGTGCAGAACCAGGGCGACTGATCTGTGGTTTATTGTTTTCCTTTATCGCCCCGATTCTCGGAACACCGACATAATCAATGCAGTGACGTTGTGTTGGTCAGAAATGTGAAAATTTAAGATTTATAAGGAACCGTATTTATAAGAAACTCTCATTCCTGGTGCGGGCCAGGCGGTGTTGCCTCGTTTGGGGCACATGCCTAGTGCTGTGGGAGATGGGGGTCTCCTCTGCCCTCGGGGGGTCTCAGCGACAGAGTGCAAATCATCTCACTGGAGGTGGTCCACACAGAAGCTCTGGCCACATGGCCCCCTGCCCCCCACCCCCCGCAAGTTCATCAGGCAGAAGTGGGGGCCTCAGGGCAGATGCAGGCACTGTGGGGCCGATGCCTTTGGCAGCACCACGGAGGGCTTGCCAAGGCTTCTCACTGGCTTCTCCTAAGTGGGGGGCCCTTAGCCCAGTCTGGGAACCCCCAGGCCAGTGTGTCTGTGCTTGAGCATGGGTGGGGGGCTCTAAGGGGGCTGGGGGGTCTCTGAAGTTGTAGAGGATCGTGCGTGTATAGAGGGGGACTGACCGTGAGACCCATTAATGAAGCTGCAGGGCCCCTCCCTTGCTCCGGCCCCTTCTAAGGCTCTGGGCCGAATTTTGAGTTCATACTTATGTGTTTGTTTTTGTAAATAAGACCTCCACGTTGTGTAAGTCTCGGGCCCCACAACACCTGGATCTGCCCCTGCATGTTTTTCTAGCCAGAAGCTCGTGAGCTCATCTTTGCCCCCCAACCCCCACCACCAAAGTTTGACAACCTCCTCTAACACAGGGCCCTGCTTCAGCAGCCCCACCCTTCCCTGTGGGCAGAGCCACTTCGCCACCTGGTGGTCGTGTGCTGGAACTGCACGTCCCTCCCATTTCTGGGGAGGCACTGTATTTGGCATTTCATCCCAGGCTCTCGGCTGGCAGCCCCCAACCCCACTATAGTCTAGGTCTGGGGGTGTGGAAGCCCCAACCCAGGGTCTAGTTCTGTGCCCTACACTCTGGGTTGCCTGTGGTTTGACATTACCTGCGATGCCCAGCTCACCCATCATTGAATGGGTATTAACTTACTGGTCTACTGTGTGTTAAGTGCTGCATTCAGCATAGGGTGAATAATGGTGAGTGAAGCAGATGTGACCCTGTCCTCAAATTGCACATAGTCTTCCTAAGACCAGCACTGATCAAGCAATCACAGAAATAAATGCACAGTTTCAAATAGTAACATGTGTCAACAGCAGACTGTATTAGAGGATTTGATCTAGTTGGGAAAATCTAGGAGAGCTCCCTGGAGGAGGGGACACTTGAGTTGAGTATGAATGAGTTGTAGTTAACCAGGTGAAAACAGGAGGGGCTAGGTGGGGGTAAAGGGATAGCATGTGCAAAGGCCCTGTGGCCCACCGGGATCAAAATTATTCTTGGGGCGACCACTCCCCCTACTAGGTGGAACGTGGGCTGAAAGACATCAGAGGGGTGTGTACAGACCAGGCAGGTAGGTGCCTTGGGCAGCAGGAAAGATGGTGCTTGGGCCCGGGCGGCGGCAGCAGAGATGGAGAGCAGTGGAGGGACTGGAGACACAGGTTGAGTCAGCAGGACATGCTGGGGGTGGATGTGGGGAAGAAGGGAGGACAAGGACAAGAGAGATGCAAAGGTTTTTGTGTGGCTCAGGACACCATCCTCTGAGGAGGGGTCGCCTGCAGCCTGGGAGTCTGGGAGGGGCTCTGGGGAGGGAGAGGTGATGAGGTCAGCCTAGAGAGTCGTGAACTGCCCGACAGTAAGGACACAATAGAGAACTCACGGTGGCTGCCTGGAGGTTAGAGCAAGTGTGGATGGGTCTGGACAGAGTTCCCAGGGGCCTCGCCCACACTGGGGCAGCCCCCTTCCTGGGGAACTAGAGTCCCTTATTCATTCAAGACACTGTCATCTGGGGTTGACTCTGGGCTGGGCACCAGGGTGCAGCAGGAGGCAGCCAGGAGGGAGACTGGTCCAATAGCCTCACTCTTGGGGACGCCTGGACTGCACTAAGGTCCCCGAGAGTCGTCCAGCCCATGCTCTGCTCACCGATCCCGGCATCCCGGGCGTGGCTCCTGAGCTGCCTCCATGGAATAGTAACCGCAGCATTAGTACTTGTGGAGGACTTCTGCCTGCCTGGTGCAGGGCTCACCCACAAACGTCTGTAGCTCATCAGCCTCCCTGTGTGGCCTCAATTTAGCTAGGAAGGAAACTGAGGGAGCAAAGCCAGGTGTGAACTCCAAGGCGCCTGGCTCCACACCTGCACCTCCCCCCCCATCCCGTTCCTGCATTGGCCTGTCCCAAGCCCTGGCTCAGTGTTGCCACGTGCCTGATCCACAGGGCAGCTCTCTTCTCCTTGGCTCATTCTTCTAAGGTATAAATCAACTCATAACCATAAAAGTTAATACAGGGGAAAGAAAATTGCAAAGGGACATTAGCAAGTGTTAGTGGCGGGTGTTACGGAGCCATTAGTACCAGAGACTGACTTCACAAGAGAGATTGGACAGCGGGTGAGATGTTGCTTACATGTTATTACTGCTGCATCTGCAGAAGCCCCAGAGTCCCCTCCCTTCCCTCCTGAGGTAATTCATGTCCGCCATGGTGAGCAGTCCTCGCTTTGGGGAACCTTGCACCTCCTCTGCTTCCCTCTAGGGGCGCTGTTGTAAACTATTCGAGGGAAGAGAATCTATGTTCACAGAGGTGGGCCAAGGCCCTGCGGTGTCTGGCCTTCAGAGGTTCACTGCCCTCATTGGCCCATTAAATGCTCGGAGAAGCCCCTGTAGGAAAGGAATGTGGTTGGCTTCATTCACCCAGCATTTCCCCAATCTGTTTGAGTTTTAAAATTCCCTCCGAATCTGCTTTGGTACATGCCAACCTTTCCAACAGGCTGCAGCTTCCTGCATTGTAAAGAGCTTCAGCCCCCGAGTTTATGTGACCCCCTTAGCTCCATGCAGGACAGATGGGGGACAGTTTCAGAGAGGTGGCATGACAGAGTCAGGGACTCTGGTCCCCTGGCAAGTGCCCTGCCCCCTGCTGCCCTGGAGTTCCAGACTACAGGCCCAGCACGCCTCACCCCTGCACTCTCTCTCCCCAGAGCCATCCACGGGGAAGACCTGCTTGCCCAAGGCCCTGCTGAACTTGAGCAATGGGCGGAACGACACCATCCCCTTGCTCCTGGACATCGCGGAGCGTACCGGCAACACCCGCGAGTTCATCAACTTGCCCTTCAGGGACATCTACTACCGAGGTGGGGCCCTGGGCGGGGCGGGAGGGATGTGGGGGTGCCTGCGGTGAGGGGCACCATCCTCGCTTGTCTGACCTCTGAGAGCTTTGGACTGGGCCCCAAGGGCCAGCATGTGCCTGGAAACCAATTGTTGAATGAATGAATGGATAAATGAACGAACTCTGATATTCTGCACTCAGAATCAAAGGCGCCGAGATTCTGAGATGCACTGAGCCTAGTGGTCCTTGAACTTGGAGTCCCGGACCTAAGATGCTCTGGGTCCAGACACAGTAAGACTCTGTGATTGTAGTTCTGTGGGCCAATGGGGCTGAGAAGCAGAGGTGTCATGAGTCCCAGTTCCTGGGTCTGAATTCTGAGATTTTGTGAATCAGGCCTGACCTTTCAGGTTCCCAGATGTGAGGATTCCAATTCCATGAACTTTATAAACTGAAGCCCACAATCCTGTGAGACCACAAGGCCGTCGTTTCCTCGAAGGCCTCTCGTGAGTCTGAAAGGTTCCCGTCTGGGATCCTACAAGCAGGGGGCCCTCTGAGACTGAGCTGCTGCTCGAATGTTATCAGGGGATCTAGGGCTTTCGTGCGATGCCACATCCGGGGACGGTCTGTCTGAAGGTCCATCACTGTCCTCGGGTGCAACCAGCGAAGGCTCTGGCCTGCAGCCCCCACCCGAGTTCCACACTCTGCACCCCGCCCTCCTTCAAGACAGGCCTGGTCTCTGCTTTGCCGGGGCCCTGGGTGACGGTCCCCCACCCCCTCTCCAGGTCAGACTGCCCTGCACATCGCCATCGAGCGCCGCTGCAAACACTACGTGGAGCTGCTCGTGGCCCAGGGAGCCGACGTCCACGCTCAGGCCCGGGGCCGCTTCTTCCAGCCCAAGGATGAGGGGGGCTACTTCTACTTTGGTGAGGAGGCCTGGTGGGGGCTGGGAGGTACATGGGAGTCTCCCCAGATGTCCAGGGCTCAGAGGGTCCCCTGTACACAGGCCGCGTGTTGGTCTTGGTCATTGAGGTCTTGCCTCCGAGAGGTAGAGCATCACCTCACTTTGCCGAGCCTCAGTGTTCCCATCTGTACAATGGGGTCATCAGGGGGTGTCAGCACCCCTACCTTTTTGTGTGCATCCTTTAGACCAGTGCATGCTGGGACCTATGGTCAGACAGCAGGGCCTGAACGTCATCAGCACCATGTCCCAGTGGACCAAGGAAAGATTCTGATTGTCACCCCTGCTTAAAGGCATGTGTTATGTGGGGTTCAGGGACAAAGTCTCTCATGGCCTTCAAATTGCATGGCCACGCCCCCCATACAGCCACACCCTGTCTTCCCAGCATCACCCACAGAAATGAGAGGTCACCGCAGGACACGGTCCCACTGACCGTTGGTGTCTGTCCCCTGAAAATCTGCAGGCAAAGTCCCACCCTGGGCCCCCTTCACTGACCTCGCCCCCTTGCCCACCTCGGCCCACAGGGGAGCTGCCCCTGTCGCTGGCCGCCTGCACCAACCAGCCCCACATCGTCAACTACCTGACGGAGAACCCGCACAAGAAGGCGGACATGCGGCGGCAGGACTCGCGCGGCAACACCGTGCTGCACGCACTGGTGGCCATCGCGGACAACACCCGAGAGAACACCAAGTTCATCACCAAGATGTACGACCTGCTGCTGCTCAAGTGCGCGCGCCTCTTCCCCGACAGCAACCTGGAGGCCGTGCTCAACAACGACGGCCTCTCGCCCCTCATGATGGCCGCCAAGGCAGGCAAGATCGGGGTGAGTGCGGGGCGCGGGGTGTGGCCGGCCCGCCCACGCCTGCTGCTCACACAGAGGAGGGGCCGCTGCCCGCACGTGTTGCTATAAACACGCGCAGCCCCCGCTCATCAGCCCAGCCCCAGTAGGCAGGTGTCCCGGCTCCAGAGCCTGCTGTGGCTCCCTGTGGTTTGGCGGAACTACTCACCTCCATCCCAGAGCCCCTCTCCTTATCCCATCCCACTGGAGGCTGGCTGCCCCACTCCCACCTGCCCCGACGAGCCACAGGTAGAAACCTGAGTCTCAGGCCTGCAGGTCCCCACTGCTGGGCCACCGGGTGGCCAGTTCCTTCCCTTCTCTGGGCCTCACAGCACAGGCCCCGGAGCAGGAGGTCTCAGCCTCAGCATTACTGACCTCTGGGGCTGATGGTTCCGGGGTGTGTGGCTGCCCTGTGCGTTGTGGGCTGTTGAGCAATATCCCTGGTGTTAATCTACTAGATGCCAGGAGCAGCCCCTCCACCACTGTGACAACCAGAAATGTCTCTAGATGTTGCCATACTGTGTGCTGGGGGCCGTGATTGCCCTGGCTGAGGAGCGAACCTGGAGCACTGTGGAGTCGGGAGTCCCCTGGGTTCAAGGCCTGGCTCTGCCGCTTCCCAGAGTGTGACCTCAGGCATCTCACCTCTTCCCTCTGTGCCTTAGTTTCCTCATCTGTAAAATGGGGACACTAACAGTGCCTTGAGGTACAGTGTTGTTCTGTGCACTAGATGAGGTGACTGGCTTACAACTCTCAGTACAGAGGCTGGGATGAGCAGTAAGTGCTCAATAAAAGGTAGAGGTCATTATCACTCTATTAAAAATGTAGCAAAAATTACTAGTACTGCGATTTATACCAGTCTTGAGGCAGTGGAAAAGTCCAGGTTTAAATTCTGGCTGTGTCCTACCGAACTGCATGGCCTTGGGCAACTCCCACCGCTCCGTGTTCCTCAGTGTCCCTGTGTGTAAGCCCACGAGAGTAGGCGTGGTGACGGGCAGGGCTGGTGTGGGAGTTACTAGTGGAATTAACACAGTAGTAAGCGCGACTGATTGCAGTTTTAGTTACATAAAGATGATACGCGTTACAAGTCACATTGTGAAGGCCAGCCTGGGTTCAGTCTGGCTTCAGCTGTGCGTGTGTGGCCCCAGGGAACACCCTCCTTTTCTCTGAGCCTTCGTTTACGCGTAAAGCCAGACAGCAAGGATGAGGGTCAACCAAGATGACGTGAGGAAAGGGTCTGGCACACGGCGCACGCTCAGTAAATATTTCCCTCCCCCCTCTCCTGCTCTCTGGGGATGTAGCGTTTGATGGGCCGCGCCCAGCCCTCGGGGGTCCTCCCAATAATGCCCCGCCCCGGGACCCCACCCCTTCTTTCTCTCGGGCAGGTCTTTCAGCACATCATCCGTCGGGAGGTGACGGATGAGGACACCAGACACCTGTCCCGCAAGTTCAAGGACTGGGCCTATGGCCCCGTGTATTCCTCGCTTTACGACCTCTCCTCTCTGGACACGTGTGGGGAAGAGGCCTCTGTGCTGGAGATCCTGGTCTACAACAGCAAGATCGAGGTGGGTGGGGCCAGGGCCTGGGGAAGGGGGTGTGGCTGAGCACAGGGTGGGTGACCCTGGGCCCAGATCGGTGGGTCTGTGGGCCGAATGCTAAAGAAGGTGCCCACGGAACACTCAGAGAGACGTCTGGCCCTGGGCGGGGAACTGAGAGAATTCCAGGGTGGGGATGCAGGGTCAGGCAGGACTGGGGCAGGGTTCCAGCTTTGCAACTCACATGCTGTGTGACTCAGGACAAGTGGCTCAGCCTCTCTGAGGTTGAGGGTAAGGGTAGCGCAGATCCCACGGGGCTGCTGGGAGGACCACATGAGTTGACTTCAGAACAGCCTGGCACAGAGTAAACGTTGGGTGGCGGCTGTTATCATTAGCAGTTGTTACACGAAGTTTCGAAAGCTCTTTTTCCGAGTAGCAGTGTTTTTCGAACATCATTCTGCACCATTAAATATTCTGGACTCTCCTTGCTGTGTGCACATGCACCACATTCTAACAAACTGTCCCTCTCTCCTTGGCTATTTGGGGTTGTTTCTGCCTTGAACCCTCAGCAGTAATACACGACCCATCTTTATGGCTGCCCGGCCGCACAGCCACGTGGTTGTGAAGAAACCGAGGGAATTGGCCGGACGCAGTGCTGCACCAGTGGGCAGGGGCAGTGCTGCACCAGTGGGCGGGGAGTGCGGGGCCTGAGCGCAGACCATCCCCCCAGCTCTGGCTCTGCCCGGTTGGGACAGAAGCCTCCCGTTGTTGGAGCTCCTTCCCTCATTGGAAAGTCAGTGACGGACTTGACCTCGAGCAAGGGTGGTGGGAGGGTGAGTGTTTCCAGCACAGGCTGACCTATGGGCAGTTTCTGCCCTGGGAACCGTGTAGAGAACTATTGTGCAGGACTCAATTGTTGATGTCTGCCCTGGTTCATCATTGGAAAATTGTGGTTAGTCAAGTATTTGTCATCTTTGGGCTACATTTCCCAGTCTTGCTTCCTGAATTGGACTTTCTGAGGTTGAAGCCTAGGGATTTTTACTTCGGGCAACTCCATGGGTGATTTTGCTGCCAGCAACTTGGTACCACCCCCAGATTGGAGTTTGGGGGCCATGAGGATACTTTTCAGCGCTGGGTGCTAGGGATCTAGACGAGACTGGAAAGGTAGGTTGGGGCAGAACTGGCAGGGCCTTGATCGCTGAGCCCAGGAGGTGGGGGCTGATTCTGGCCCCCCCCGCCCCCCCTCTTTGAGTACAGCAGAAGAGTGGGTTAGGAGGAGAAAACGTTCTCAGGGCAGAGGCTGGAGTCTGCCTGTCCCCATGGAGGGGGGCCCCTGACCACCCTGCCCCCCCCAGAATCGCCACGAGATGCTGGCCGTGGAGCCCATCAACGAGCTGCTGCGAGACAAGTGGCGCAAGTTCGGGGCCGTCTCCTTCTACATCAACGTTGTCTCCTACCTGTGCGCCATGGTCATCTTCACCCTGACCGCCTACCACCAGCCACTGGAGGGCTCCGTGAGTGCCCGTGAGCGGGGCAGGGGCCTAGACCCTCGGCAGGGAGAGAAGGAGGAAGGAGGCTCCTGGGACCCAGATGTGGGGGGTGGGGCCAGAAGTCGGAGGGGCTGGGTGACGACCCGCTTGTCCCCGCCCCCCAGCCCCCCTACCCTTATCGCACCACGATGGACTACCTGAGGCTGGCCGGGGAGATCATCACGCTCTTCACCGGGGTCCTGTTCTTTTTCACCAACGTGAGTGCTGGGCCCCCAAACCTGCCTGCCCATCTCCTCCCCTTGCTCCACGTCTTGTAGCTCCGCTCTCCTCCTCTCCCTTCCTTCTCCTCCACCCCCCCTTCCCCCCTTCCATCTTCCCCCTTCTCTTCTTTTGCCTCCGTCTCCAACCCTGTGCGCTCCTCTGCTCTCTCCTCCTCTCCCAACAGAAACGAGTCCATCGGCTTTTCTCTGTACCACAGTCCGCCTCGCTGTTCTCTCCCTTCCTCCCCACCCTGCTCCCCTGCACTCCTGCGGCTCCGCCCCATTCACCTGCCGCCTCCCCGCCTCCAGATCAAAGACTTGTTCATGAAGAAATGCCCTGGAGTGAACTCCCTCTTCATCGATGGCTCCTTCCAGCTACTCTAGTGAGTGGAGGCCAGGGGCTGGCAGCTCTGGGGCCAGGAAGATGGGGTTGGGCTGGGACATCATCCGGCTGGGGGTGTGGGGGGGGTGGGGGGGGGTGTGATTCTATTAGGAGTGACTTTGCACAGCTGGACATCTTGAGCCCAGAATCAGGACAAGGCCAATCAGTGTTAAGCAAGAGGGTCTTCTGATTAAAGCAAGATTCTGGTTGCTAGAGAGTCACCACATTCACCATGGATAGAAGGAGCTTCTGGTGGTGGTAATTGATTGCTAATGTCTGCCTAGAGTGCCACATTGAGAAGAATCTTGAGGCCACGGCTGTGTTTAGTGGGGGAGAGTGCCGCGGTTGATGAATGATGCCTGCCTAGGGCCCAGGAGCAGTCAGTACACTTGTGCGACACCTTTTCCCTTCCCTTAGAGTTAGGGAGCAACGCAATCCCTTAGCCACGAAATCTGCTCTGAACACCACTGAATCTTTCTCTGGCAGCTCCGAAGGGCACCACTGTGGGATCTGGCAGGGCCTCAGAGTCATTGTACACAGTCATTGTCAAGTAATCTCGTTAACAGAATGCTGGGGAACCCAGGGAATCCACTTTGTTTATCTTTTGCATTTCCGAGGGAAGCCGGATGTCTTGGCACCCGGAGGGCTCCAGGCATGTCTCCCCCTTCGGGGCCTCATTGTTCCTTCTCCCCTCCGGCCCCCCTTGCGGCCTCTGCTGTCCACAGCTTCATCTACTCCGTGCTGGTGATTGTCTCGGCCGCACTCTACCTGGCTGGGGTGGAGGCTTACCTGGCTGTCATGGTCTTTGCCTTGGTCCTGGGCTGGATGAACGCGCTTTACTTCACACGCGGGCTGAAACTAACAGGGACTTACAGCATCATGATCCAGAAGGTATGGCGTGGGGGCCTGGTGGACTGCGTGCCCTGGAGGGAGCCACGCACACCCTGTCCGCATCCCCCATGTGCAGACCGCTCCCTGGGCCTGAGGACGAGGGGCATGTGGGGGCAGCAGGCAGGGTCTGGGCATTGGGGGGGATGGGAGGATGAGGGTTCAGTGGAAAGAGGGTTTGGGATGGAGGCACTGGGGAAGTGAGAAGCCACGTGTCCCATCTTTGCCTCCATCACCCCCCTGGGGTCTTTAGATCCTCTTCAAGGACCTGTTCCGCTTCCTGCTGGTCTACTTACTCTTCATGATCGGCTATGCCTCAGGTGAGCAGCTCTGGGTGCCCGGGGGAGGGGTGGGGCTGGCGGGGCGGGACAAGGACCAGAACAGCAGTCGCTTGGTGTGGAGGGAAATACCCAGCGTTTGATGAGCTCTCACTGCATGCCAAGCACTGTGTGGAGTACTTTCCCATCCCCGCCACATACAATTCTCCCAACAAGTCTGTAAGGTGAGTGCCTTTATTTTGTCCTTTCACAGGGAAGGAAACTGAGGCTTAAATATCTTGCCCAAGTTCAAAAGCTAGGAAATGCTAATACTGGCATTATTAGCTATTGTTGCAGAAGAAGCCATCTCTACCTAGTGGCTTAAAACAACCACCGTTCATCACAAGTCCATGGGTCAGGTGCTGTCCCAGAGCAAGTCTGGCTGACCTCGACAGGCAACGGTGCCTGCGTTCAGGGTGCGGGGGTTGGCAGCCCACTCACTGCCTCAGCTGGGGAGACTTCGCTTTTTTCCCTGTGGTCCCTCGTCCTCCAGCCGACTAGTTCGGGCTTGGTCACATGGTGGTCTGAGGGCGTCTGAGAATGGGTTCAAGGTCACTTCCTACCACGGCATCACTTCTGCCTCACTCTGCTGTCCAGAGCAAGTCTCAAGGCTGCCTTGTTCAGCAGGTGTGGAAGTAGACTAGACTTCTTGATAGAAGGAGCTGCAAAGCCACATTGAAGGAGTGCGGATACAGGGGAGAGTGCATTTTAATAATTCATTTACCAGCCCAGGTCTTATTTTATTTTTATTTCTATTATCTACTTATTTAGAGGGGAAGGGAAGCAGAAAGAGAGGGAGAGAAACATCATTGTGTGGTTGCCTCTCATGGGCCCCACACTGGTGTCCTGGCCTGCAGTCCACACATGTGCCCTGACTGGGAATCAAAACTGCAACCTTAAAGTTTGCAGACCTGCGCTCAATCCACTGAGCTACAACAGCCAGGGCCCCCAGGTCTTTTTTTATAGCTCGATATTGGCTCCCTCCAACACCCTTCTCTGTGGTGTCACGATGCCATGGGACCTCAGTGTCCCAGGCTATGGGGAAACTGACCAAGCCACTGAGCTGGTCCCTAGAGAGTGGGTGATCTGCTATTCAGTGCCCGGCATCCAAAAGGGAGTGGCCAACTCAGGCTTCCCTGGCCACGTTTGCATCTGATGAAGTTGGTCTGGAGACCAGCGCTGAAGCAGGAGTCTGATGGTAGTGAGATTTTAGCCCAGGTGGGGCAAAGCCTCTGCTTGGGTTATTCTGGGGAACAAGAACTGTCGCCTTAGCTGGGGAGAGAGGGACAGGGCACAGCTGCCCCCTCCCAGTGATAGGACTTGGAAAATCTAGACAGCGTGTCAGGAGCGCCACATGGTGTGGGATGCAGATCCACGCCAGCCCCACTGCAGTCCTGGTTCTAGAAACTGAGGCAGAGGCTTGGGGGCTAAAGCAGCACCTTTGTAGGCAGCTTGGTCCCAGGCCTTCTCCTGCCGTGGGACACTAGGTCCCTAGTCTGAGACTGACCTAACACAAACAGACATACGATTCTGTTCTTTATATTTTGTGCCCATGGCAGACATTGCTAATGGATCACAGAACTGTTTTTCTGATGAGTCCAGACAAGGTCTCAGAATCCTTTTCAACACACATTTCAGCAGCTGCTACACAACCGAATAGCATTAGCATCTGAGTAGAAACCTCGTTACTGTAACTCTGACCTGTGCTCCACTGACCGAAGGGGCTGGGTTTCCTCATGCTCTGCACCCGGACAGTGTAGGGGCAGGTGCTGCCGCTAAACTGTGTTGAAAAGGGCTCCGAAGCTCCGTCTGGGCTCAGTGGGGAGGGAAGGGCACCATGATCAGTGGAGAGGTTTGGAGGGGATAAGGGATTCAGTGCGCACGGCTTCTGGGCCAGTCAGGACTGGGCCCTGGTTTCCACTCTTCCTCTGGGAGCTGGTGTGGACTAGAAAACAGCACCAGGAGAGGGAGTCCACTCCAGGAAGGCTGGCGTTCCAGGCTCCCAAGACCTCTAGGAACAGTAGCTAGCTCAGGGCTTCTCAGGTAGCTCAGGTAGTTAGCTCGGTGCTGGGCACACTGGGGGCTGTCCCGTGCGTGGTGGGATGCATAGTGGCATCTTCCAAGTGGCTGTCAGTAGTGCTCCCCTCCGATTGTGACAACCAGACATGTCTCACAACATTGCCAGGTGTCCCCCGGGGGAAAAATTGGCCCAGATTGAGAACCACCTGAGTAAGCCCTGGGAACCTTTTCCTTGTTAGCAAAGGTTTGTGGGAAGAGCAATGCTTTGGATTCAGGAAGAAGACCCAGGTCGACCCTTGGCTTGGCTTATGTGCTGGGTAACCTGGGGCCAGTGCGGTGGTCTCCTGGCCCCGAGCCTCAGCTCTCCTCTCCATCAAATGGGGGCAATTCTCCCCACCTCTCGGCTTGTGTCTCACACTCAGCGAATGCCACCCCCGCCCCTCCCACAGCGCTGGTGTCCCTGCTGAACCCGTGTGCCAACATGAAGGTGTGCAACGAGGACCACACCAACTGCACGGTGCCCACGTACCCCTCCTGCCGCGACAGCGACACCTTCAGCACCTTCCTGCTGGACCTCTTCAAGCTGACCATCGGCATGGGTGACCTGGAGATGCTGAGCAGCACCAAGTACCCCGTGGTGTTCATCATCCTGCTGGTCACCTACATCATCCTCACCTTCGTGCTGCTCCTCAACATGCTCATCGCCCTGATGGGGGAGACGGTGGGCCAGGTCTCCAAGGAGAGCAAGCACATCTGGAAGCTGCAGGTGAGGCCCAGGACGCCCGGCCCCGCCCCACTAGCCACTCTGCTCCATGCATGACGGGGAGCTCCGACCCACCGTGCCTCCTCAGGCTTCTGCCCTGGGCAAGCCACACCACTTCCTGCCTCCACTTCCCTGTCCATAAAATGGGCATCCAAGGCAGCCACCTGCTTCCCAGAGCCACCTATTGCCTTTCTAGGGGCTTCGTGCCTGCCCACCAGCAGTGGTCTCAGATCTGCCTTGTGGCCCAGTTTGTGAGACATAGTCGACCTCCCAGGGCACCACAGAGTGACCTCCGTGGGCACAGGGAATGCTCAGAGGGTGTCAGCGTGCCAGCAGGGGTCCACGCTGAGCCCTGGGCGTGCTCTGCCATGCAGAAGACAACATGAATGCTGCCTCATTGGCACGGGAGTGGGGGCAGGGCTGCTGCTCAGCTGCCCAAGGGTTTCTGTGCCATCCTGGGGAGCAGAGGCCCTGGGGGCCCAGCCTGCCTGCCTGGGCATCGCACAGTTCAGGAAGCTGGGTTTCCACCATAAAGAGAAACTTTCCAAGGCCCAGGCATGCGGCACCCACTTTGACCTCGACTTGGTGCATTTCAAGGAAATGGCTGAGTGAGAGAAGGAAACCCCAAGGCCATCCTCCCCAGTCTGGCCCCTGGGAAGCGTGCAGACTGCCCTGAAACTGCATCCCTTCCGCTAGCTTCCCTGGCCCCAGCTCCCCCGTGGGCTGTGAGTCCCAAGATGCACTGGGGCAGCTTGTGGACTGGGTTTGACTGGCGAAGATTGATTTTTTTTTCCTGTATCACCGTACTTTAAAAAACTTAATGCAACATTTTAAAGTTAGGAGAGTTCCTATAAAAATCCAGGTTTCTGGCCTTTCTTGAAAAGTTGGGTGGTGGTGGGGGGAATGGAAACAGAGAGAAAAACAAAAAAGAAAAGTCGGAAGCCTGGCAAGGAGGGCCCACGCTCTGGCCTGGCCCTGCTCGGGTGGATGGCCGGCGGCTGCCTCCTGTACTGGGTCCAGGCTCCCCGGTTGGCCCCAGTCCCTACCCCTCCCTGGTGTCACTGACACCGAGTCACGGGGCTTGGGCTGTGGCCTTTCTCACCTGATCCTGCTTTGCTCGCTCATTCTGCAGGGCCCCTGGGTGGGTATTGGCATTTGTAACTTTCCTGGGTCAGTAGGAGCTAGGAAGCCTATTTCCCATCCCCACACCCCCGTGGAGTCCTTTCTGCCACTAGGGCAGTAGGCGCGGGCTGGGGGAGGCTCACCCCAGGCCTGCCCCGCTCCCCACTCCCCACAGTGGGCCACCACCATCCTGGACATCGAGCGCTCCTTCCCCGTGTTCCTGAGGAAGGCCTTCCGCTCAGGCGAAATGGTGACGGTGGGCAAGAGCTCGGACGGCACCCCGGACCGCAGGTGGTGCTTCAGGTGAGGCGGGCCGGTTGTTCGCTTTTCAGCCTTGGACTCTTCCCTGTGAAATGGGGGCCGTGATCACACCACCCCCAGGCCCGTGGTGCAGACTAGACGGTTAGAGCTGCGACAGCTCCCAGTGCACGTCAGCGAGACACCCACAGGGCGGCGGGTGTGACTGCTCCTCTGTCCCTTGCTGCAGCAGCAGACACTGGGAGGCGGGTTCATCTCAGGGCATCAAGCTCTACTGATAAAGCAATGGGGCGCGTGGTTGAAAGAGAGAAAGGGAGGGATCAGCGGCTTCCAGGGCCCGGATGTTCCCCAGACACACAGGCAACGTCGGCTTCCTAGGGGAGCCCCTGGCCAGTCTTTTCTCACAAGCCGAACCGTTCTTGGCACAGCAGTGGCCGGCACAACCCTCGGTCGTGCCTGGAGTCGGGCCAACGCAGTTCCCTCACCTGAGAACTGGGGGCCATAGTAGCACGCAGCTCCCAGGCCGGTCGCCTTGAACCCCAAATTCAAATCCCGGATAACTGACCAGCTTTGGGACCTTGGGCAGTTTAACAAGCCTCCGTTCCCTCCCCTGACAACTGGGAACAGTGAAGGTGTCTTCCTTGCTGGGTCCGGACCCAGTCCGCTGAGTCCAGACACAGAGCGATGGGTCAGGAAATGGAGGTTGAGTGAAAACAACAAACATCATTTTAAAAAAGGACAAATGACATCAAGCCAGTTTGGGCTTAAGGGGCTGTAACCTGGCTTTCCAAGGGTGTCCCCAAAAAAGAGGTAAGAGGGTGCAGATGAGGGGGTGAACCTTGACTGGGACACTCGTACAAAGGGACATTGCTCAGCTGTGGAAAGGAGAGACATGTGGCACACGCAGCGATGTGGGCTGGCCTCGGGCTCATCGGCTGAGCGAACGCAGCCAGCCCCAAAAGGCCACACTTACGTGAAATGTCCAGAATAGGGGACTTTATAGAGATGAGCATAGAGTAGGGGGCTTTCATAGTGACGAAAGTAGGGTAACCGGGGGCTGGCAGAGGGGGCAGCTGGCTACAGAATCTCCGTTTGGGGTGATAGAAAAGTTTCGGAACTAGAGAGCGGTGATAGTTGCACAACCTTGGGAATATATTTAACGTGCTGAATGGCATATTTAAGAATGGTTAAAAGGGTAACTGTTATGTATATTTTGCCAGAATAAAAATAAGAAGGCCGGTGTGCTGAGGAGGGGGGTGTGCCGGGAGGGGCGCTGCCTCGGTGGGGACTCCCCGACCTTCCTCTGCTGTGGCCCTGCCAGGGTGGACGAGGTGAACTGGTCTCACTGGAACCAGAACTTGGGCATCATCAACGAGGACCCGGGCAAGAATGAGAGCTACCAGTACTACGGCTTCTCGCACACCATGGGCCGCCTTCGCAGGGGTGAGTGAGAGGACTGGGGGCGTTGGGGGGGGCAGACTCAAGGGGGCAGACTCAAGGGCGCAGAGTGGGAGCCCTGGGCCATTCTCATCACAGGTTGGCTCTGAGCGGCCCTGTCCCTGCCTGAGACTCAGTGTTCCCATCTGTGCAATGGGAGGGTCAGATGAACTGCCCACCCAGTATCCCCTGTGAATGCCCAGGGCACCTCACTTCCACGGCACCGAGGGCTGGAGACAAGGTGGGGAGGACACAGTGCTTGGGACCTGGGACCTGGCTCGAATTCTGATTGTCCCATTTACTCCTCTGTGCTCCTGGGCAAGCACCTTGACCTCTCTGAGGCCCAGTTTCCACCTGTGTACAATGGGGATAATACGACCTCCCCCCTTAGATCACCGCGGAGCGCCTGGCACCCAGTCGGCGCTGCGTGTATGCACGCGCCCTCCCCGCCACCCCTCACTCCGGCCGTGCTCTCCACAGATCGCTGGTCCTCCGTGGTGCCGCGCGTGGTGGAACTCAACAAAAGCTCGAACCCAGACGAGGTGGTGGTGCCTCTGGACAGCATGGGGAGCCCCAGCTGTGATGGCCGCAAGCAGAGCTACCCCCCCAAGTGGAGGACTGATGACGCCCCCCTCTAGGGGCTGCAGGCAGGGGTGCGATCACCCACCTACAGCCCAGCCCCCTCCCGTCCACCCACCTGTTTCTGGTCCACCCGCATTTCAGCCTCACGGTCCGCTCCGTGGACCCCCAGAGGTGAGGGCCAGGCGGATGTGCCGGGCTGGCCCCAGGACCCTCTGGTCACCAGGTTCCTGCCCCCAGGTCTGTGTCCCCACCTGGCACAGGGCCCCTGGCCGCCTGTCTCACTCCCATGGAGTCACAGGAGCTGGAGCCAGGGACGTTTCGCCCCCAGGGGCTTCTGCTGCCTCTCCATTATTTATTTGCTCTGCTCAGGAAAGCAACATGGCCCCCGCCCCCAACGGAACCTGGCAGTGGCCCCGGGACCCTGGTCCAGCTGCAGCGCTGGCCCAGCACCACATGCTGCCGCTGGGTGGCCTTGCTGAGGGCCAGGACCTTGGGGTGGGCCGCCCCTTCTGTACGTTCTGTAGAGGGTCCGGGGTTTGTTGGTGCTCAATAAATGTTCATTCACTGGTGGTGGAGATGGTGCAGATGGTGGGGGGGAAGAGCTCAGAAATCCTGTGTGGGGATGAGGATGGTTGTAGCAACCTGGGTGGTGGTTAAGGGGGTGGCTGGGGGCTGCACAGGAGGTGGTGGTGGCGGCCTGAGAGATGGGGGTGACTGCAGGGATGATGGGGGGGTGCAGGGAACGGGAGGAGAGTCATGCTGGTGGGGGGGGTTAGGTTGATGGGGGTGATAATGCTGCTTGGGGAGTAATAATTACTGAGTCGTGCTGGGGGGAGAGTCATGCTGGGGGAGAGCAATGCTGGGGGAGATGGTGGGGATGCTAGCTGAGGGGTAGGGGTGCTGGTGGGGGAGTGTGATGCTCACTGGAGCACAGTGATGCTGGCTGGGGGGTGGTGAGGTGCTTGGGGGTGGGTAAGAGAGCTGCCGGGTAGGGGCAGAGCAGGGATGGAGGTGACAGCTGTGGAGATGGGTGAGCCATGAAGTGTTAGCAGCAGGGTGACCGCGAGTACAAGGTGGCCAGAGGACGGTGGTGGTCCCTGGAGAGGCGGAAGTGCTGGGGCATCTGGGGTGGGAACGGGCCCCTGCTTCTCTCTCCATCAGGGTTGTGATTGAGTTGGAGCTGAGGGCTGACCTGCTCCCCTTCCACACCCCAACCTGCCCCCCCCATAGAGCCCGGTGACATGTAGCTAGCTGCAGTGTCCCTGTGACCTCCCCAATTCCCAGGCCTGGCTCGGAATTCCCAGGCCAAGCCCCTTCGAAGTTTCAGCTGAGAAGACCATGAATCTCAGGACCTGGCCAGGGGCAGCTGCAGAGGGAAAAGCACAGGGCATGGAGTCTGCACCTTCTGTCCAAATCTTGGCAATGGGTCCCTCTGCCTCTCTTGGGGCCTCTGTGTCCCCATCCGTCAGAAGGAGGGCAGTCGATGACAGGAGGGACATGAGTCTCTGAGAAGAAAGAGGGCTGTCATCACCAAGAGTGGCAGGGGGACTCCTGCTTTCCAAGGGCCCATTCTCTCCATCTCCTGTGTTGCCTTCCAGGGCTGATGGGTTCTTCTCGGGGTCCGTGAGTGGCCCAGCTTTGCACAGGCCTGCATGCTTCCTCCTTCTGATCTGACACGGAGAGTGGGGTCCTCATCCAGCATTCTGAAGGGGGTGGGGGGTGTCCTAACAGCCATTCCAATGTGGTGGGCTTGGGCCACGACCTGTGTGAGCCAATCCCACGGCCAGGGGAAGCCCTTCCCGGCTGAGCCACGCCTTTCTGGGAGCTGTGGGTTGACCCTAAACTTGGAGCCTCAGTTTCCTCCTCTGCAAAACAGGGCACAGCCTTTGTGAAGATGCAGTGATTCCCTGCGTTTTAAAGAAGAGAGGATTGTTGTGTGGTTTGTATACAGTTACATGTCTGGGGTAGCAAGAAACGGAAAATTTACACTGGCTTCAAGGGAAAGGAGTATTTATTGCCTCAGTAGGAAGTCTCGAGGGAGGGAGGGTATTCAGTCTCAGACACAGGAAGGGTTCTGCCTGTCACTCCATTGTCAGCCACTGTGATAGGCCCCGCCCACCCAGGTGTGCTGATGGTTCCTCACTGGCTCCCTTCAAGGACGCAGGATGTCACTGCTGTTCTAGGAGTCAGACCCAGATTTAGCCACTTCCAGAGGAAGAAAGAGGACAATGATTCCATGTCTCTTTACGAGGGTGCAAACTCCCCCCACTCCCCCAGCTGACCCCGCTATTGTGATATTATTGGCCAGGTTTGGGTCACGTGTCCCATGCTCCAGCCAATCAGCAGGCAGAAAGCCATGGGTGGCCTAGAGGAGCGGAAGGCCCTATGGAGGTATGTTTCCCTGGTCAGGTCTGGGGTTCTGTGGGGAAGGAGAATGGAGGAGTCACTTATCACCTGGACAAACAGTAGCATCTGCTGAGTTGCCCCCGCCTCCATGCCATCTTTCCAGTGGGGACTAGTACGGTCACTGAGAATTGCTATGGTTCATTCCGGGCCCGTGACAAGGTCACTTCTCTAGGGGGTTATGGGATGGGCCTGCCGATGAAGTCAAGGCACCTTCTCAGCCCAAAGGGACTCCTTAACTTACCAAGGTGAATACTTTACTCACTCATTTTTTAAAAAATAAATAGCCCTGACTGGTGTAGTTCATTGGATAGAACTCAGGCCTGCGAACCAAAGGATCATGGTTTAATTCCCAGTTAGGGTACACACCTGGGTTGCGGGCCAGTTCCCAGCAGGGGACGCACGAGAAGCAACCGTACACTGATATTTCTCTCCCTCTCTCCTTCCCTTCCTCTCTAAAGATAAATAAATAAAATCTTAAAATATATAATAATAATAATAATTAAATAATTGTTGGCTATGAATTTTGCTGAGTACATTTTTTACCTAAGCATGTAGTAACTTTTTCAACTGTGATTTTCTAAATGTTTGGTGGTTTGGGTTTTGAATCTTTATCACTTAAAAGCTGATTAGGGGCCTTTTACGGTGTTTTCAGGCCGTCGAGATTTCTGGTTCGGTCCAGGAAGGTCTTAGAGATGACCTTTCCCGGTGTCCTTCGGAGCACGGGACACAGGCTGGTGGCGTGTTGCAGTGTTTTCAGGGGACACACTGGGCACAGAGACACTTAGAGGGGAGCAAACTCCCTTTTCAGTTCTCTGCCCTCCTGATCATGATAAAGTCTCCGTTGGATGCTTCTGTGTTGTTAATGCCTTCCCCACACCTGCTAATCTCTCTCTAACAGAGAGAAGCCTGAGGCTCAGCACCCTGAAAGGCAGAGTTAGAGCCAGCAAAGGCGTTAGCTTCCCCCAGACCCCAAGGTCCGACAGGAAAGGAGAGTTGCTCAAAGGCAAGGACGCTGCCTTTCGTCCATGCCTTCCTAGCATCACTGCGTGGTGTCCCCCTGCTGTGGGCAAAGTGTAATTGCTCACCCCTGGGCTTGGCTGTGTGACTTTCTAAAAAAAAGATGTTATTTTATTTTTTTAGAGAGAGGGGAAGGGAAGGAGAAAGAGAGGGAAAGAAACATTAATGTGTGGTTGCCTCTTGTGCACCCCCTACTGGGGACCTGGCCCGAAATGAAGGGAGGTGCCCTGATTGGGAATCAAACCAGCGACCCTTTGTTTTGTAGCCTGCGCCCAATCCGCTAACTACACCAGCCAGGGTCACATGACTTATTTTAAACCAATGGGATGTTAGCAGACATGCCTAGCCCCGCCCCCCAGAGGAGGGTGAGAGATACTTGGAGCGGAGCTCTATCTCCCAGGCAGGCCTAGCTGAGATCAGAGGAAGCCCACAGATGCGAGAGAAAGAACTGGTTTGTATGCCACTGAGTTTCTGTGATTTTTGATTCAGGCTTTAGAGAAACAGCAAGCAGAACTCGGGCAGGCCAAAAAGTGAATGTCCACTGCACTCTATGTTGGGGACCAAGAACCTGAGGCACAGAGAAGTGAAAATTCTCACTCAGACACCTGGCTGGTAAGTGGTGGAGGTGGGATTTGAGCCCAGGCATTCTGTCCTCAGAGTCCAGCCTGGAAAGAGAACGCTGACCCCTGAGGAGTGAGGAGGGATGAGGCCAGGTCGCTTGTGTGATAAGGACCTGGGCTGCCGCCCGCCCCTTTTACTGAGCCCGAAACCCTGAGCCCCTGTTTCAAACCCACTCCCTTTGAACCTGCCCCGAACTTTATTCCAGCAAACGTTCCTTGTTATGTGCGTGCATGTGTATTTCATAATGATAAAGCACTTGTATGTCATATTTGACAAGAGGGCTTTTTTCATCCCAAGTTTAAAACACTACTGGGAAATAATTAGCACTACTGGCGTCAAAAACAATGGGGCCCCATCAGAAAAGACAGTCTCAGAAACTCTCGGATCTTAATTGAACAATTACCTCTTATGCCTGTGAATAGTTCATTATTACATGCCCTGTTATTATTAGCTGTTATTATTGTTTTCGATGAATGCTGGGGATTTTTTTTTAAACCAAGAGCCATTCTTCTACCACACTGTTCACCTCCCCCAAACCCGCGCCCCTAACCTTCCTGGATGTAGTGGGCGGTGGTCTCTGCACCTTGCCCCGGCAGCAGGGTAATTGTTCGGACGGGGCAGTTATATATCCCAGGTCTCCGTTTGTAAGTATTAATTGTTGACTCCTCGGTAAAAACATTTGATGAGAATCAAGCACCCCCTACCCTTTACTTTTTAGGGTTCCAAAGTCTCTGGGGACAACAGGGACATCTTTGTTCGTCCCAAGCATAGAGATCGAGACCAAAGGGGCTGGTGGTGATGGAAGCAGAGGACAGGAGAGAGGGGGCTCTGGGCAGTGGAGACCCAAGCCCCTGGGAAGGGGGCTCAGGCAGCTGGGTCAGGAGAGGGCTGACTGGGAGTCCCATGTGCTTGGAGGAGCCACAAAAAGGGAGGGGGAGCAGATGAACGTGGACCGGGCACCTCCCAGCGGTCGGGCATTCCTAGCTCAGGAGCCACGTGCAGAGCTTGTAAGCTGGGCCCGATGCCTCCTCAGAAACCAAGCCCCCTTCCCGATTCACAGCACCTGGTTTATATAGCATTTTCCACTCTGGCAACACTGTGACTATTGCCTTTACTGGGTGGGTATCTGCAGAGCAATAACCATGGGAACCAGTTCTGACCCTTGAGACAAGGGGGGAAGTCTGAAGGAAGAGGAAGCCCGGGACCTGTGGGAAGATGCCGCCTTCTCCTTAGGTGGGCACGCTCAGTCCTGGATGTGATGGCTGGAACCGCAGCAGCCATTCTGCACCCAGGATGGGGCTTGGCGGAACAGGAAACTGAAGAGGGCATGACACCATCGAGCAGCTGAATTGACCAACCCTGGTCTTCTTATGATTGTTTCAGATCATTTTTTTTTCTTTTTTAAAGGTCAGGGTTTCCTTTGACTCTGCCCAATTCATGCAGATACAAGAAGCAATTTTCATCCCCACTTTAGAGATAATAGAGATAAAGCGAGACCCAGTGAAATAAACACACTT